CCCGAATTTTGCATCCATTGTGGCACCCTTGACCGATCTTATAACTACTAAAGTACCTTTTGAGTGGACCACTGTTTCTCAACAGGCATTTGATGGAGCCAAAGCCCTGTTGGCTAGTGCTTTAAACGCGCCCCCAGACGTCGGTTTTCTTTTGATTGTTTAACAATTTTTTCTTGTCCTATAAATAAATTGGTTTATTGTTTGAAGAATTTGTTGTTTGCCTCTTTTATGTTGCGGTATATGAGCCAGCCGTAACATAAAATGGGAGCTCGTCACGGATTTTTGAGCGTTTGTTTGAGGGAGTATTTTTATTGTCTCTTCAGGATTTCCCTGTGAGGATTGGCTTGCACTCTGGTTAGTTAGAGTGTTTCAGCTGGGCTGCGCATGAACGGTCCTTCCATCGGAACACTGTTTGTTGTTTTGTTGATTTTCTTTGTATTTTATTTTGAGTTTTTGGAAGGAAATCCTGGGTGGGGGTACGCTTCTCGCGCATCTGAACTCATTTGGAGAACGGCTGTTACGAGGTTCAGCGTTTCAAGTCGCCTCGAGCCCGGCAGTCCTTTGAACACTAGTTAGGTTAGTTTCAACAAGCAGGCATATCGGAGATGTAAACCCAATGGAAATCCTGGTGAGTACTCTATAGTTAGGTTAGTTTCAACAAGCAGGCATATCGGAGATGTAAAGCCAATGGAAATCCTGGTGAGTACTCTATATTTTTCTCCCTGTTTTTCGCTTAAATTTATTATAAAGAGAGCATGTTTTTCGCGTGTTGGTACTATGTGCTAGTTATGCCACTTTAGATGAGGAATTAATTGGATGTTTGTGTAGACCGGTTAAAATGTAAAACTTGGTTTTGTTTACACGAAAATCTTGTGTTAGGGACAACAGCAGGTTATAGATGATTAGTGAATCAGGCTGAAATAGCTGTTGTAGCCTATTACGACCGATTGTTGTTTACTGTTAGTAAATTAGCATTGCATCGCTGGGTTATGCGGGTTGTATAAATTCCTATTATAAATCGGCATTGTTTTTTGTCCTCTTTGAAGCACTGGAATTATTGTATTGAAACAGTGACTTTACGGCCTGTGGAGATTAATTTGAATGATAGAACTAGAAAATTAGATTTTGAGTGTTCATTCATCCTGATCTTACGTGTTTCTAGTGTTAGTGGATTATTGAGCTAGGCTGTATGAAATGTTATGTCAATATGGGTAATATTGAATAATCATTTAAGTCTAGGTTGTTTTCTGGCACTTCTTTTTTTTTTTAAGGGAGGTTTATTAGGATTATTTGGATTTATTGGGGTCAATTTATTAACTAATCTTCATTGTGTAATTTTTATGCTAGTTCAAAATTACTTTCAATGGGGAATTGAATGTAGAACTTTCTGAGAAGTTTCTAGATAGGTGCACCAAAGAACAACTTTTAGAACTCGCAGAGCTATTGTTTTGACTGGTAATGATAAGAAGCGCAAGGAAGATTTGTTAAGGGCTGTTAAAAGCCAGTTGATAGCCAAAGGAATTCTTGTTATAGGAGATGAGACTAGTTTTGGTAAGGTATTGTCTCCATGTGTAGAGAGAAATTTAATGTCAAAAGAAAAACAAACACAGTTTGAAACGGAGAGACTATCGTTTGAAGGTACTCAAGCATTAAAAGATAAGGACTGGGAAAAATGGGTTCAGTTTAAAAAATTGAGCTTGAACAGGAGCGTGAGCGTGCTCCGTTTGAGTTGAAAAAATTAGAGTATGCACGTGAGAGTGAACGCGAACGGAGGCAGTATGAGATGAGGAAGCTAGAGCTTGAACTGGAAGTTAAGAAAGCTGAAGCTTCTAAATCCGTTCAGGTTGTGCAGACTACTTTTGATGTTGGTCGAAACCTTAAGATGGTTCCTCCATTTTGTGAACGTGATGTAGACAAGTATTTTGCCCATTTTGAAAGAGTTGCTTCTTCT